GTCTACTGTTGAAACTTTCCATAGTGTTTTTTATTGCAGCTATATCACTCTTTATTTCTTCTTGACTCTTAACATAAGTTTTTGATTTTTTTCATCCATCCGGTTTATAAACTGTATGACCCTTATTCTGAATTCTTTTTCTAACATATTGCATGTCTCCATTTCACTTAGCTCCTTTTCTGGCAATTCCTCCTTTTTTTTCCTTTGGGGGTTTCTTTGCCCGTTTTTTTCTCTCACCAAAGGATCTAGGTGTCGAGTTGTGTGGGGGCTGCTCCTCAGGTGGCAGCTGGTCCTCGGGCGGTTGCGGCAGCGGCTGCTCCTCAGTTGGCGGTGGCTCCTCTGGTGGGCGCTGCTTGCAACAGTGATGGCTCCTCTGGCTGGCGGGGGCAGGTTGCTCATGTGGCTGCTGCACCTTGGATGGGGGCAGGCTGTATGAGGCTGCTGCTCCTTGGAAGGGGGTGGGCTGCTCATGGTGCTACTGCTTCTTGGATGGGGGCAGGCTGCTCACGCAACTGCTGCTCACGTGGTCGCCGCACCCTGGGCTCAAGTGTTGGGCTGGCCAGAGGGGAGCTTGCTTCGGAACTCACAGGAGGACCTTGGGGCTTTTAAAAAATATTTACCCCTGATAGCTCATTGTACACACGCACACCCATCCCCAGCTTCCCTTCCCTCCTTCCCTCCCTCCCAGGAATGAGGGAGCCACTGATATAGACAGAAGTGTATAACAGGTGTTTTGGGAAAGAAGGTTAAAAAAACCCTAACTACTTGAAATTAGATTGGATTCAAGCATGATCTCAAAAATGGTGAAATGGAAAAAGGACACTTTAGATAGGGAATATAGTTGATAGGCAAAACCATGAAGACAAGGAAATGTGTACATTTAGGGGAAGTAGGAGGATAAGGACAGCTGAATTATGAAAGATTTTTAAGTACAGAGCAGAAGAGTAGAACTCATCACTATAAAGGTTTTTGCACAGGTATCTAACAATAAAGTGCCATTTCTGAAGGATGATTATTACCCTTAGATATGGAAGAAAAGGTTAGTTGTGGTAATAGAAGCTGGCTAAGGAAGTAGCTTTGGGAATAGATGACAGACTGTTCAAGAAAAATCTCAACAGAATGTGCTTAAGGACTGCATGTTAAAGAATGAAAGTGGGAGACTACTTAAATGAATTTAAGTTAGCTTGGAATATTGACAGGAATTAGAAAATGGACCTGCTACCTTTTGGAAGAAGGAGGATGGGAAGGAGTTGAATTTAGTTTTGAACATACTGTGTCTGAGTCATCTGTCAGATATTCATAAAAATAGCCAGTAGCCATTGAGAAATACTGGACTTGGTTGAAAAGTCAAAATGGGAAGCAGGAGGGGAAGGGAGAAAGAACTCCTTTATAGTGAGCAGAGGAAGCATTGAAACTGTGAGCATGAATTAACTTGTTAGTGTTTAGAATTCTGGTTTTATTTCTTTTTATGTAGACCATGGATTCTTATGCTATCCCAGAATCGACTCCCAGACGAAGTGCATCCTGGCTTAAAGAAGGAGGGGAAGGGAGAAAGAACTCCTTTATAGTGAGCAGAGGAAGCATTGAAACTGTGAGCATGAATTAACTTGTTAGTGTTTAGAATTCTGGTTTTATTTCTTTTTATGTAGACCATGGATTCTTATGCTATCCCAGAATCGACTCCCAGACGAAGTACATCCTCAAGGCTTAAAGATCACTTTATAGGTGCTACCCCTCTGCAGAAGCGGTTGGAATCAGTCAGGAAGCTGACTTCATTTGTCCCGCCTTCACCTCAAAGGAAAATTCCCCAGTGTTCACAGTTGCAGGTATGCTTTTGTGTTACTCAATAATTGAGAATAGATGTGAACAGAACATCTCATTTTTTGTTACAATTTCTAGTACTTTTAGTATTTTCTCCATCCCTCAGGTAATAAAATAAATGAGAAACAGCAAAAAGAAAGTTATTCACACTGTCAGGAAGTACCTCCTATGTTATGTCTTTTAAACCCTTTGATCTAGAACACTGCCACAATATTTCTTTGTCTTTTATGACATAGACATTTTTGAAGAGTATAGTTTTCTCCTTTCCCTTTTTAAAGTAGAATATGCCTTATTTTGTATTTGTGTGCTGTTTCCTCACGATTAGGTTGAAGTTGTGTATTCTTGGCTGGGATACTATAAAGGTGCTATTGTGTCCTGGGGGAATGACATCTGATACCACATAGGTAATGTTAATTTTGATCACCCTGTCAAGGTGTTGCCCAATAATTACTGTTTTAGTTCCCTCTGCAACTAATAAGCATCTATGGGGAGATATTTTAAGATAATGTAAATATCATGTTCCTTTTCAAAATTTCCCCCTAGACTTAACATCCATTGATAATTTTTGCCTGACCCCATCTTTATCATGATGGTTGCAAAATAATGACTTTCTAATCTCCCTTTACTCCGTATTTACCAATCAGCTTTTGGCATTCTATTTTAAGCCCTTTTCTTTTCTCCTCCATTTGTTTATTGGAGACTTGAACTCACGAATTCCTGTTTTTCAAATTTTTGTAATTCATTACCAAGTTACTTTGGTGTTTAAATTGGCTCAGATTTATCTGGTGGCATCATGCTCTGTTTTGATCATTCGCACACGACCCTGACGGTATAAAACATTAGTAATTTGTAATTTTACTGAAACATGAAATAAAGCCCCAGGCAGTTTGGTGTGTGGTTTTGAGTCACTTAGCTAGGAACCTGGCTATCAGTCACTCAGACCTTCCTGGTAACTTTGTTTTCTTAACACTGTTGTGCGCGCAGTATCTTTTGGGATATGAGAAAAGTTTTGATTCTTTGTGACAACTTTCTTAAAGAAAAATTGCTAGTGCTGGTAATGAAAGTGATAGTTCCTAACCACTAAACAGAAACTGTATTAATTAAAGTTTGGAATGTCCAATTTAGTACTCCCTTATGTATATGATACAAATAATTTTGCCATACCTTTTGCCTAGTAATAAGAAAAAAACATTATAACTTTTATATAAAAGTTTATAACTATTTCCGTGAGTAACTTTGTCAGAACAAATGTTTTTGTAAATAGACAACTAGTGAAAGTTCTAAAAGATAGTGGTGAGACTATCTCACGAAGTATGAATTGTATAGAAAAATTCAATTCAGGATAAAACTAGGAGCTATAGAGTGTCTGTGAAGACTCTTGCTCAGTAACGACATAGTGCCAATATAGTGTAGGTGAAGTGTTTTTTTTTACTAAATAAATTATATTTTTATTGATTTCAGAGAGGAAGGAGAGGGAGAGAGAGAAACATCAATGATGAGAGAGAATCATTGATCGGCTATCTCCTGCATACCCACTACTAGGGATCGGGCCCACAACCTGGGCATGTGTCCTTAACTGGAATCGAACCTGGGACCCTTCAGTCTGCAGGCTGATGCTGTATCCATTGAGCCAAACCAGCTAGGGCTGCTTTTGTTTTTGATGGTACCTGTGGTTCTAATAGAGCATGGCAAAATACTCCCAGGTATCTTTTTATTTAATCTACCAAATTAGGCATTGTGTCATAGAATGGCATAGTGTGCCAGGCACTTTTAAAAATTACTTAATTAAATCCAATAAAATTAGTTGCTCTAAGAATAATTATTATTTTCAAAATCTATAACTTGAAGTTTATACAAGTGAAACATAAATTTTCATCCATTAATATTTATTGAACACCTGTTCTAGATGGCACTGCTCTAAGTGCTAGAAAGTAGTAGTGAATAAAATAGACAAAATTCATGATTTCATCAAACTCATTCTCTAGTAGGAAAAATAGACAGTAGAAGTCACACAAATTCTATATAATAAAAGCCTAATAAGCAAATCGACTGAATGGCGGAACAACTGGTAGGCAGGGGGTGGGGCTGGAGAGCGGGCGGTGCCAGGCCAGCCAAGGCAGGTGCCAGTGGGCAGAGGGAGGGGACGATGATTGGGGAGGTGGCGGCGACTGGCGGTGGCGGAGGGGCAATTGGGGGGCCGTGCCGGCTGCTCACTGGCCAGTGCTGTCCCCTGATTGGCCTGTGGGTCACCTCCTGCAGAGGGAGGCCAGACTTTGGCTTAGGCCCACTCCTCTATGGGCTTCTGCTCTGTGAGAGGGCGCAGGCTGGGCTGAGGGACTCCCCCCGCCTCCCTGAGTGCACAAATTATCGTGCACCGGGCCTCTAGTATATAATATCAGATAGTCATAAATATAAAGCATGTTAGGAGTTAGAAAGTGACAAGTTGGAGTGGGTTCAGGTGCTACTTTAGGTACAGTGGAGTTTTGAGTGACATTTAGGCAAAGACCTGATTGAAGGAAAGGGACAGGCCAGGTATAACAAAAGCAAAGGCCTGTTCAAAGATCTTCAGAGTCCTGCAAACTCCAGTTTGGCTGGAGTGCAAAGATCAGGTACCCAGCCATAGATTTGTATTAAATACTATGATTAAATTCTTATTTACTAAAGTTTCCTAATTCTTAAACTTCATTTGCTGTGATCTTTTTTTTTTAGGAAGATGTTGATCCTCAAAAGGTTGCATTCCTTCTACATAAGCAATGGACTCTGTATAGTTTAACTCCCCTGTATAAGTTCTCCTACACTAATCTCAAAGAGTACTCTAAATTTCTGAGTGCATTTATTGTTGCTGAAAAGCAAAAAGGACTTGCTGTGGAAGTGGGCGAAGACTTGAACATCAAAGTGATTTTCTCTACTCTCCTGGGAATGAAAGGAACACAAAGGGACCCTGATGCATTTCTCGTCCAGGTATAGTATAGGCAATACTTGCTTGCTAGGGAAAATAGTCTGCATTGTCTTGGTTTGGACATTGTGCTAATTGTTACAGTTTTTGAATTTTTTTAAAAATATATTTTATTGATTTCTTACAGAGAGGAAGGGAGAGGGATAGAGAGTTAGAAACATCGATGAGAGAGAAACATCGATCAGCTGCCTCCTGCACACTCCCTATTGGGTATGTGCCTGCAACCAAGGTATATATATGCCCTTGACCGGAATCGAACCTGGGCCCCTTGAGTCCCCAGGCCGATGCTCTATCCATTGAGCCAAACCAGTTAGGGCAGTTTTTGAATTTCTTAAGCTTGTGATTTATAACCTCATGTCTTATTTGACCAAATTTAAAGTAGATAATGACCAACTTAAAAAATACTTTTTCTTATTACTTCAGGGTGGGGCAATACAGAGTAGGTTTACAGTTGTGAGTAGTGAAACAGAGTTTATTCTTGTATTATTATTTATTAATTATTGTATTATTTTCCATATGAACAACTGTAAACCTACTTTTGCCTCACCCTGTATAACATGTTTATTTTAGAAAACTTAAAAAATACATAAAGTACAAAGAAAGTTAAAAATCACAGTTCAGCATCTTGGTATACATCTTTTTGGCAGTAGATAATCTGAATAGGCCTATGTCTATTAAAGAAGTTGGATAAATAATTAATAACCTTCCAAAATAGAAAGCATCAGGTCCAGACAGGTTCGCTGGTGAATTCTACCAAGCACTTAAAGAAGAAAATAAACCAATTATCTACATTCTCTTTCAGAGGATAGAAGCAGAGGGAATACTTTCTAACTCATTCTGGGAGGCCAGCATTACCCTAATACCAAAAACAGACTAAGACACTATAACAAAAGAAAACTACAAATCAGTATCCCTCATTAGCATAGATACATCCATTTAGCTATCTGTATCTATTAAAAATTGGGATTATATTGCCCATATTTATTTGCATTATGGCTTTTTTCCTAATAATTAATGTTGAAGATAATTACTCATATCATTAGGAATTTTACAGGTTTATGATTTTTACTGGGATTAAATTCCTAGAAGTATAATGTTAACAAAGAAAATATGTAACTTAGCCCAGCTTGTGTGGCACGATGGTTGAGCATTGACCTATGAACCAGGAAGTCATGGTTCTATTCCCTATCAGGGCACATGCCTGCGTTATGGGCTCAATCCCCAGTGTGGGGGCATGCAGGAGGCAGCCGATCAATGATTCCCTCTCATCATTGATGTTTCTCTCTCCCTCTCCCCTCTTCTCTGAAATCAATAAAAATATATATTTTTAAAAAGTAACTTATTTTTACATTTTGTGATACAGGTCAAGTTACTCTCAGAAATATAACCTTTTACCTTCCTATGTGCAGTGTATAAAAGTAATATAACTAACTTTTGATTTATTCAGAAACTGAATTTATTTTATTCATGCCTGCTACTTCTGTTTCTGGGGTAACTGGTCTTAGTCATTGATAAGTTAAATTCTGAAACAGTTGAACAGACCTAATTTGTTTGTTACACATCAGGGGTCAGCCAACCATGGACTGCTTGGCCAAGTCTGACCCACGGCTTATTTCTGTAAATGAGGTTTTATTGGAGTAGAGCCCCTTTCATTTGTTTATGAATTTTCTATGGCTGCTTTTGTGCTACAATAGCAAAGCTGACTATTTGCTATGGCCCACAAGCCCTAAAATATTTACTATTTGGTCCTTTACAGAAAAAGTTTGCTGAGCCATGGTATAGGTCATGGTATTTGCAAGGATCTCAAGATGCCTAGGATTAGATTCAGCTGCATATGACAGAAAGCTTAAATAATAGCAAATTAAACGAGATAGAGGTTTATCTATCTTACAGAGGTGTACGTAGGTAAGCTATTCAAGGCTGGTATATATATGCTTTATGATATTATTAATAATAGGCCCCTTCTCTCTTCTCTTTTATCGTTGGTGTGTGGCTTCCATCCTTAAGATGGCTTTATAGTCTAAGATGGCTCTTGGAGCTGTAGATATATGCAAGTTTCCGGCAAAAATTAGAACGAAGATGGGAAGGGCCAACAGGATGCCTACCACCGCATAAATCTTTAATGAAACTTTCTGAGATCTAGAAGCTTCTCTTTATTTTATTTTTTATTAAAAATTTTTTTTTGTTGTTAATCCTCACTCGCGGATATTTTTTCATTGATTTTTAGAGAGAGTGGAAGGAAGAGGGAGAGACAGAGAGAAACATCGATGTGAGAGACTCATCAATTGGTTGCTTCCTACACGTACCCTGACCAGGGCAGGGATACCTGCAACCGAGGTACATGCCCTTGACCAGAATTGAACCTGGGGCCCTTCAGTCTGTGGGCTGATGCTCTATCCACTGAGCCAAATTTTAAAAATATATTTTTATTGATTTCAGAGAAAGGAAGGGAGAGGAAGATAGAAACATCAATGATCAGAGAGAATCATTGATAGGTTGCCTTCTGCACACTCCCTACTGGGGATCGAGCCCACAACCCGGGTATGTGCCCTGATGGGTAATCGAACCATTACCTCCTGGTTCATAGGTCGATGCTCAACCCCTGAGCCACACCGGCTGGACTCATTTTGCTTTTCAGTGTTAAAATTTTTCATATTTAAAATTTACCTAAATAAATGAAGCCCTAGTAAAATCCTCACCTGAGGACATGCTTAGAGAGAGTTCAAACACATTGCATTTGGTGACCTTTTACTGCTCCTTCTAAAGCTGAGATATTTTTCCCCCTGATGCTGTACTTGGTTGTACCATATCGGTAGCTTTTATTTTGCATTTTGGTTGTATGAAGATCTTGCCATATACCGTGCCTCTAGTGTATAAGAATATTAGGAAGCCGCCTGTGCCGCCTGCTGAAGCCAGCGCTTCTGTGTGGTGCTCTTGCCGTGCCCGGCGTGGCCAGCACCATGTGCGCCTACCGTGACGACTGGCACTGTGCTCAGTCAATGCACGAGTTCTCAGCCAAGGACATCGACGGGCGCATGGTTAACCTGGACAAGTACCGGGGCTTCGTGTGCATCGTCACCAACGTGGCCTCGCAATGAGGCAAAACAGACGTAAACTACACTCAGCTTGTTGACCTGCACGCCCGATATGCTGAGTGCAGTTTACGGATCCTGGCTTTCCCTTGCAACCAGTTCGGGAGGCAGGAGCCAGGGACTAATGCCGAGATCAAAGAGTTCGCTGCCGGCTATAATGTCAAATTCTATATGTATAGCAAGATCTGTGTGAACGGAGATGATGCCCACCCTCTGTGGAAGTGGATGAAAGCCCAGCCCAAGGGGAGGGGCATCCTGGGAAATGCCATCAAATGGAACTTCACCAAGTTCCTCATTGACAAGAATGGTTGTGTGGTGAAGCGGTATGGTCCCATGGAAGAGCCCCAGGTAGGTGCCTCTCCAGGGAGCCTGCTGGGGTGGTGCCTTGGGAAGAGATGTTCTGACCCTGCCTCTCCCACAGGTCATAGAGAAGGACCTGCCCTGCTACCTTTAGCTCCACAAGTGTGCACCCCCACATCTGAGCCCACCGCCTGCGCCCCTCGGAGCCTTCCACCCGGCACTCATGACAGTCTTTCTAAAAACCAGCCTGCTGGTGGGGCAGACCCGAGAACCCGGCGTGCACCTCTGCCGGAGGAAGGCCCCTCGGCCTGCCTGGCTCGCAGCTCTGCACCCTCACCCCTGGCTGCCTTGTGGGAATAAAACTTACAAATTGAAAAAAAAAAAAAAAAAGAATATTAGGAAAAAGGTCAGTGAACTTAATAAAACCTAATAATGATTAGGGACACTGTTCTTTATTTTTTCATAAGTAATGTCTTCGTAGTTTTAAACATACTAATTAATTTTGAGGTGATGTAATTTAGGAGTAAATGTACTTTTGAACTTAATGAACCTGTTTTCTTTCTTTGTAGATTCTGTCAAAATCTCAATTGCCATCTGAGAACAGAGAAGGTAAAGTGTTGTGGACTGGTTGGTTCTGCTGTATATTTGGAGACAGTCTTTTGGAGACTGTTTCAGAAGATTTCACCTGCTTACCCTTATTCCTTGCAAATGGAGCAGAGACTAATACAGCCTTAATTGGAACCTGGTTTCAGAAAACTTTTGACTGTCATTTCAGTCCTTTAGCAATCAATGCATTTAATCTTTCCTGGATGGCAGCTATGTGGACTGCATGCAAAATGGACCATTATGTGGCTACTACTGAGTTTCTTTGGTCTGTACCGTGTAGCCCTCAAAGTCTGGATATTTCTTATGCCATACATCCGGAGGATGCAAAAGCTTTGTGGGACAGTGTCCACAAAGCCCCTGGGGAAGTTACCCAGGAGGAAGTTGACTTGTTCATGGACTGCCTTTGTTCACATTTCCATAGGCATTTCAAAATTCACTTATCAGCCACAAGATTGGTTCGCGTTTCAACATCTGTAGCTTCAGCACATACTAATGGAAAAATAAAGGTTAGTTTGAACAAATCTAGTTAAGTAATTTTTCTTATTGTTGCATAGTTTTCAAAATGTATGGTGATTGTGTTTTCCACATGGACTAAATAAATTGAATGTCTGCCAATAGAGACATTTTATTTTATGCTTTATAAAAGATTTATAAAAATGTTTAGCCTTTTTGATTCAGCTTTTTTATAAAAAAATTCATTTTTAGAGAGAAGAAGGGAGAGGGAGAGAGAGAAACATCAGTGTGAGAGCAAAATATGAACCTGAACCGACTGTCTCCTGCATGCCCCCTACTGGGGATTGAGCATGTGCCCTGACTAGAAATTGAACCAGCAATTTTTCAGTGTACAGGATGATGCCCAACCAACTGAGCCACCCTGGCCAGGGCTTGATTCAACTTTATTATGGAAGGATACTATGTGTTGTGTGCTACAGATTTTGGAAATAATATGAATTACTCTGTAGTAACTTTGAAACTTTCAAAATAGTTTCTTATCAAACTTTGAAATAATAATCAGATAACAGGATTTTATGTTAGATAAGGAAATTGTAGCCAGAAACATATAACTAAGATAATCATTTTCATATTTTAGGCTTTTCTATCCCTGCTGGAAAAGAAGTAATAAAGACAGCCCTGACCGGTTTGGCTCAGTGGATAGAGTGTTGGCCTGCGGACTGAAAGGTCCCAGGTTTGATTCCGGTCAAGGGCATGTACCTTGGTTGCAGGCACATCCCCAGTAGGAGGTGTGCAGGAGGCAGCTGATCGATGTTTCTCTCTCATCAATGTTTCTGGCTCTCTATCCCTCTCCCTTCCTCTTTGTAAAAAATCAATAAAATAAGATAAAAAAGGAAGTAATAAAGACATTGTTTTACTGTTCATGAAGTCCTTATTAGAGTAAGTATGAAAAACCAATTGAAAGTAGGCCCTTAAGTATATTAAAATGTTAATATATTTAAAATATATTCATATACAACCACCATAAACACTCAGTGAATACTGGCTTTGTCACTGTGCTAGGAGTTTAACATACCTTAATTGTAATCTGTTAGCCAGGTTTCTGCCATCTACTTTGTTTTTATAAGATACTTTTGGAATATATATATATATATCCCTTTGAGAAGAAGGAAGCTATGAACCTCCTTCTAGAAAATGTAAATACTCAATGTGTATATAAGTTCAAGGGGTTCAGAGATGCCCTTCCTCCCCTCACTCTTTAGGCAGGAGTTAGCCCAAGCACGGAACTCAGGATAAATAAGAACCCTAGTCTAATTACTTCTAAGCACCATTGACCATAGTTGTGAATTTATTAGACTTAGAGCAGCAATGGTTTGTTTTCATATTCATATCTTAGCTTGCAGATAGGGAATTTAAAATAATCCTGGAATATTTATCAAATACAAACTATTATCATAATTCTATTTTAATTTTAAATGTTGTCCCTTTTTTTTCTTTTCAGATTCTGTGTCATAAATACCTTATTGGAGTGTTGGCATATTTGACAGAACTGGCAATTTTTCAAATTGAGTGAGGCCTTGTGGGGATCATAAGTCATGGATTTTATACCTTTTTCTCATTGATTGATTAATTGCTATGCTGAGAAGGGACTGCAGGAGAAATGGGCATCCATCTCTGCATCTGTTTCCTCACAGTGCCTTTGGAGGTGCCCGTAGAAGCCAAGAAGGATCTAGAACAGAAGGTGGTAGGGGATGAACCACAGCCAGGCACTTCTGTAATAGTCATGACTAACAGGGGTGCCAGTCTCTAGAAAATGCTGAGTTGTTATTTGTTGGCCATCTTCCTAAAAAATATGTAATGTTTAGTATGTCAGACGTTTCGGATTCAAATGAGAGAGCTCTAATATTCAGTATTTCTGACTTGGGTCTCTAAAACTTTTAGTTCCTTGTAAGCATTTTAGACTTGTATTGAGAGAATTTCTGTCTTGTAAAGACATTTTCCTAGCACAATTTTGCTGTAGAGAACTAGCAATCAAAAAATCCTCTGCAAAGGAAACTAAAAATGAATATGGATTTTTAGAAGCCATTAATATGCTTGTTTTTAATATTATTCATTTCTTATTACAGTGTTGAATTAAATATATTCACTTTTAAAATGAAGCAGTGTGTTTATCAATATCTTGGTGACAGGTGTTTAATGTTTGAGGAATGGGAAGTCAAGGGCTTTTTCTCTAGCACAAAGGTTACAAACCAGCAATTACGGAGAGCCATACAGATTGTACATTGGAAAGGCAGAGAGTTTCTTCATTCCCTAATTTTGCTTAAGCACAGTGCTTGGTAAATATCTGTAGATAAAATAAATGAATTTTAACCAACTCTTCCATTTTGCAGATGAAATGTACTAACTTTTGAGACTTGCCCTAGCAGTTATATCTAAATCTCTTTTTACTATTGAGCATAGAAAAGTTTTGTTTTACTTTAGAAACGATGTTTTTAAAAATCTTGTCTGGGGGAAAATATCTTTAATAGGCTATTATTCTAAAAACAAAAAACAAGCTCTGGAGTGTGGTATTGTTTTACATTAGGAACAGAAGAGGTAGTAGAAAAAGCATGGGCATTGGAGTCAGACATTCATTCATTCAACTAATATTAAGCTCCTACTTTATACTTAGAATTGTATTGGGTAATAAGAATATAGTAGTGAAGACAAAAAAAGGTCCCTACCCTGTGGAAATTATATTCTAATGGAGGAAGGCAAAAGATAATTTCATATGGAGATAAAACCCTATAAAGAAAATAAGGCAATGAGATGAGAAAAAGGGTGAGTGGGATGGGCCTACTTTACTTACAATTGTCGAAGAACGGCTCTCTGAGGAAGTGACAGGGGAGCTGAGTCCTGAGTGAGGAGCAGGAACCAGCCACGTGAAGATCTGAGGACGAGTGTGCTAGGCAGGTGACACTACAGGAGCAAAGGCCTTGGGACAGGTAAGGGCTCAGTTTGAGGAACAAAGGGAACGTATGGCTGGAGCACAGTAAGAGTGGAGTAGTGCGAGATGGAAGTGAAGGGACTATGCAGCAGAAACTTCTTCCATGGTGTTATGACTCCCAACTTTTGGCTGGGCACATGGCTGCCCAGAAACAGGAAGACATTTTCCAGCCTTTCTCAGAGGTCTCTTAAGTTCTGACCCCTGTAAGTGGAAGCGTTATGTAGAGCTTTCAGGAATCTTCCTTAAAACACAGCAAGCATGTACCCCTTGCTCTTTTCTTCTTCCAACTTCGCTGCTTGGTACACATGTAATGACTGGTACTCTAGCTGCTCTTTTAGGTCACAGGGATGAGGGTCAGTCCTAAAGACCGGGGAACATGGCCTGGAAGGAGTTTGTGCCCTGAGGACTTTTAAAAATATATGTATTTTTATTGATTTCAGCCTCCTGCATGCCCCCTACTGGGGATCAAGCCCACAACCCGGGCATGTGCCCTTGACAGGAATTGAACCCGGACCCTTCAGTCTGCAGGCCGACGCTCTAACCACTGAGCAAAACCTGTTAGGGCCCTGAGGACTTCTTGAAGCTGAACCCTGTACAGGCCTTGGGAGGTCTTCCTTTAGACATGTGTGTCAGAGAAGTAAACTTCCATCTTGTTTTAAGCTATTGCTGTTTGGGTCTCTTGCTCATAACCAAACCTAATCCTAATACCTAGAGGCAGGATTCCCATCATCTCAGTTTTCATAGGGACTGTGAAGAAATTGGATTTTATCCTAAATGCAATGGGGAGCCCCTGAAGTTTTAAGCAGGAGAGTAATACGACCCACTGTATATTTTATAAGGTATTGGAGAAATTGTAGGGAGACAAGAGTGGAAGAGGGAAAACAGGTAAAGGGGTGTTAGAAATGGTACATACTCTATGGAGAAGTTAGTGTATAGTATGCTCTCTTTTATGAGGAATTGAGGAATATGTGTGTGTATTTCCCTATGTTAAAAAAGCAACAATGGAAGGGACAAGTCAAAAACTAATAAAAGTGGTTACTAATAGAAAGGAAGGAATTGGGGAGAGGAGACAGGAATGAAAGCCTTAGTATCTTAAGGCTTCTTTGAATGTTCCATTTATAGTATGGAACCATATAAGTGGTTTATATAGCTATAAAACAAAATCAGATCCAAAAGGAAAAAAAAGCAATCCTTAAAATTGAAAACAAATGAACCTAAATATATATGAAGTTCATGCTATAATCACACAAAGAACTATTCTTAGTATCTTTACTACTATTTTGACTGTGCATCATTAGTGGTCTATATCCTAGGAAAAGAGCAGCAAAGGAATATTAAATTTCATTCAGTTATATTTTTATTAATATTGGTATTTTACCACTATTATTAAGATGAAACGTAATTATAACAATGTTAGGAACCAAGTTTTACAGTGTAAAAGATACACAATTATAATATCAGGTAAGCTAAGTAGAAACTATACTACTAAATTTTAATTGGAAATATCAGAACGAGCTCATTTATTTTTGAAATGCAAAAAGTTTTAAATATTGATGAAGTCTAGTTTATCAATGTTTTTATTGTCCTTTTGCTGTCATCTAAGAAATCATTGTTTAATCTTCAGTCCTGAAGTTTACTCTTATGTTTTCTTCTATGGATTTTATAATTTTAACTCTTAACTTTAGGTCTGTAATCCATCTTGAGTTAATTTTTATGTGTGGTGTGAGGTAAGCATCCAAATTCATATGACATATGGATATTCATTTGTCCCAGCACCATTTATAGAAAAGATTATTTTCCCATTGAATTGTCTGTCACCTTTCTTAAAAATCAGTTGGCTATAAATGTTTATTTCTGGATTCATTAATTTATAATATGTCAGTTCTCATGCCTATACCACACTGAATTGATTACTGTAGATTTGTAGTTTTTTTTTAAATCAGGAAGTATGACTTTTCTAGCTGTTTTCAAGGTTGTTTTGGCTATTCTGGGTCTTTCACATTTTTATAAGAATTTTAGCATTTGTTGGTCAATTTCTGTAAAACAGTTTTGATTTTGATAGTGATTGTGTTGAATCTGTAGATTTGGGGAGTATTGTCATCATAATTATATTAAGTCTTCCAATCTATGAATGTGGGATATTTTTCCACTTATTTAAACCTTTCAAAATTTTCAACGAAGTTTTATAGTTTTCAGTATACAAATATTGCACTTTGTTAAATTTATTCCTAAGTATTTTATGCTATTGAGACTAGAATTGTTTTCTTAATTTCATTTTTGGATTGTTTGTTACTATTGCACAGAAATACAATTGATTTTATATATTGCTCTTGTATCCTATGGCCTCACTAGAGTTGTTTACGTTAGTATTTTCAGTGAATTCCTTAGGATTTTCTATATACAAGATTGATGTCATTTGTGAATAAAGCCAGTTTTATTTTTTAATTGCAATCTGGATGTTTTATATATTTTTTGTGTGCTAACTTGCCTTGGCTACTCTTCAGTATAAGAAATAGAAATGGTGAGAAAGTATGTCTTGTTCCTGATGGTAATGGGAAAGCATATTTCACTATTAAATATGATGCTAGCTGTAGGTGTTTCATAGGTGTCCTGTCAGGTTAAAGACGTTCTCTTCTATTTCTAATTTGTTGAGGGGTTTTTATTATGAATGGATGTTGAATCTTGTCAAATTTACTTTTTTGTATCTATTGAGATGATTCATAACTTATTTATTACTCAAAACTACACTCTTTACTTCTGGTTTCTAGTTTCATATGGAAGGAGGTTGGAAGTTGCCACTCTGTCCTAAGCAATAAGTAAAAAGGAGAACAGATGGAAAAGTCAATTACTCTTTTTAGGTCCCTAAGAGAGGGGAGGACACAGGGCAAATTGGTGCCCCCAAGACTGTAGAGACAAACAGGTGAATACAGGGAGTCATGCTCACTGGAGCAGAAACTACGTGGGAACCAGGCCAGGGGTAAGCAAACCAGAACTGTAATTAATGAAATGCTGGAGGCTCAGTGTGGACAAATCTGCAAGTTAAAACCCCCAACGGCCCAGTTATAGAGTTGAGGAAATCACTATGCAAGTAAGTTGTAATAAACCCGGCTCCAATGAACACTGGCCAGTAATGTAGTTCCTGGGTCTCTGTTCTTGAATCACAGCCATATGAATCGTTCTCATTGGCGAATTCTCTATGTATAGAGAGTCTCACCTCTTGAATTTAGTTCTTATTCTCCTTTTCTTCCAATATAGGTAATACTAGAGCCTTGGGAAATAGGTGATTTTGCCTTGAAGACTGGCTGTTAACGATGCAGTACTGTAAGGATCTCATATTTTTTATACTTTTTCAATGTTATTAACCAGTTAAATAAGGTTTGTTAGTGTATTTAGTTTCAGGCCGTTTCAGGTTGGCCTGCAGGGGTAATGGGGCACAGAAAGAAATGGAGTGGGAGTTTGGGCAACTGATTTCTAAAGTTGGTTTTATCATTGCCTGCTTACTCTATGGAAGGGATTTCTGGGTTTTCACTCTTAAAGCAAAGAAACAAAAATGGGTCTGGAATAGATGAATTGTTGAGTCCTTCTAGCTCCAAATTCTATGATTCTAAGTCCTATACTAGAAAACAAGTGTAGTGGTTAGGTAATATATTAAATATTATATTAAACTTTTTTATATAAAGTCTTTATAAAATATAACTTATAATTCTAGCTAGCAATCCCTTTATTTCTTCAGATTTATTAACTTTATATAAAGGAAATATAAATGATATAGAAACAGAACATCTAAATAGTAAAGACACAAGGATTAAAAAACATTAACCAAACTTTTTTTATGGTAAGTACTCTTTATTTTAAAAAGTTATACATGCTAGAAAAAAGCATAAATGATACACGTAAACAATTGTTTACCAAATACTTTTCCTTGTAAAGGTGCAAATGATTTTTAAATGTAAACACAAAAGTTGCCAAATATTTTTTTGTGGGGAGAAGAGAAGGTTATTCCTTTTGTTGTGGATAAACTCTTAAAAGATTTTCCTGCAGAAGGTCTATGAACACAATGACAAAAAATTTCAACCACTGAAATTTTTAGCATTTTCTCCTTAAAACTTTTAAACTTTTCTCTAAAAAGTGCAATGTGAGAGTAGTAGCAGTGACTTTATAGAATGAGGAGGATAATATATAGCTGTATAAAAGAACCAAGATATTAATAAAATGCCTCAGCTGGTTTTACACCCCTTCCCATGTACTATCACGTGAACTGAAGAATTCATTCCTTGGCAGCTGTGATTACAGGTAAGCCTCAGCTTCAGCAGCCTGAGCATCAAATGTAAGTTGCACAACAATTCACTGCTGGGGAGAGCACATTTCTCCCTGCTGGTCCTTGGTAGCAATATGCAAATCAAAAGGAAAGTTGCTTCAGTCAGTCGGTAATGTTTTAGAGTAAAAACATGCAGATAATTCCATTGGGTGATTCTCAAGACAGTACATGAGAATTGCATACTGTTTTGTAGAGGCACACAGTAGGGCTCTAGATCTAGCAGAAACTATAAAATACTGGGGAGAAAAAACTTTAAATGTAGCAGAAAACAAGTTCATATGGAAGGAAACAAGATGCAAAGTTCCACTGATGAAAACTTTTAGAGTCCTGGTTTTATTGATTTAATACTTTTAAAAAAGATTTTCAAGTCTTCTTGTGCTTAGTGCAAGAATGATAGCTAACTTACACACTTTGCATTCTGATCTTTGTCACTGGTAGTCCTTGTAAGGAGTGGAATCGTGGATGGAGTGCCTAGAAATAACAGCTAGATCATATATAGCCCTTCTCCCCTCATTAACATTTTCAAACTTAGTATCTTAAAATTTCAGTGCTTGGAATTTTTTATTTTGGTTGGGAGGAAAGCTAAAAAAACAAAACCATGATAAATTAAAACCAAAAATAAATATTCTGCACAGAACTGAACATTATTGTGCAAAGATGGCATCCTATAGGTGAAGTACTTTGTGTTTGTGTTTCCATAGTTGAGGCACCGGCAAAGAATAGAATTTGTTCATGTTTTCCCGAGCTTAGAAAGCTACAAAGTCAAAGTGCTCCAGAATACAGCAGAGCATACACACAGCTGTCTTCTAGACGTTCACCATATGTGGGACTCACAATGCGTCATTTTAATAACTCCTACTCCACCCCCCAGCCGACGGTAATTCATCCCGCCATATAACCTGCAAAGAAAGAAAATCTGATTTCTAACTGGAAAAAAACACCATTGTCTCTATGTTTTAGATCACAATATTTTTAGCTTTCACACTTCGCTTCCAAAGATTAGGAGCTGGAATTGAGCACTGGCAAGTGGCAGAATTATTTTAGATGCTGACTGAAAAGCTATCACTTATAGGGGACTGTTTTAAGAATAAAAGTAGATGGGACTTTTATATCTACTACTTTTGCATCGTGACTATATGACTTTATAC